CTACATTTGTTATTACTAAAAGGAGATGTTGGGCCAAGGAGATAGCTCAGTGGCATAAGCACCTGCCTGGCAAGTGCAAGGGCCTGGATTTGATCTCTGATACCGACAAAGAAAAAAAAAGAAAGAAAGAAAGAAAGAAAGAAAGAAAGAAAGAAAGAAAGAAAGAAAGAAAGAAAGAAAGAAAGAAAGGACGGACAGACAGACAGACATCTTTATATAAAAATAATAAAAACCCCATACTGCATAGATAATGTGGATAGTCCTAGTTACTTGATCATAGCCAAAAAGCAACAAATAAGGTCTTCAGCTCCAATCTTTCATTTATTTCAAATTTACTGCTGGAATTCCAAACTCATTTCTTCTTGTCAGATGACTAAGCCAGATGAGGGGAGCGATGGTAAGTCTGCCTTTCTTTACCCCAGCCCTGCTCTCTGCTGGTGGATCCAGGGCCTTTGTCTCTTTGCCAGCTTGTGATTTAGCATGCTCAGGGTGTTTGCTGTTGTTGGGTTTCACCTCCATGATGAAACCTCCTCTTCCTTGCTGTCCTCTTGAGGTTGGGCTGGGTGAAAAGTTCCCTGTGGTCTATAAACTCAATACATATTCTGCCTTGCTCTCCTGTACCCTTGGCAGTTGGAGTCCAGTGGTCACAGTCCACAAGCTCTCTTGCTCCCTTCATCTGTGGTAGGGCAGGGAAGGCAGTGGTTGGGCCTGGTTTGGGTGCACTCTCTGGGCCCTCATTCTTCTCCTACTCTCACTATTCTGGACATTCTGCCAATAACTGCAATGTGGGCAGCGTCCAGAATGGTGAAATCTGCTGCATATTTACTGCCCTGAACCAGAAACGCCATAGGGCCCAAGACATTTGCTATCTTTGCATCCTTTTCTCCTTCAGAAGCATCAGACTACACAGTCTCTCCATGTCCTAGTGATTTCAAGTTCCTCTCCATGTGAGGGGACTTCTGGAGTTGTTCTTTATGGCAGTTGGCTGGTGTCATTCCTGTTGATGAAACTATGTCCACTCTTTTTTTTTTTTTTCTCATGTATTTGGTTGTTACAGGGTTTCACTATGCAGCTTGGACTCATAGTGATCCTCCTGTTTTCAGCCTCCCCAGCACTGGGATCATAGGCATGTACCACTATGCTCAGACTCTGTGGTTGGCTCAGCCTGTCCTGAGGAAGGGGGTGGTGTGGCATGTGGTACCTGGGATCGATCCCTGGTCCCTGCACTTGCCTAAGCAGGCGCTTTAGTCCCCTGAGCTATTTCACCAGCTCCCATATGTTCATTTCTTAGGTGAACCATTTCACTGTTCCCCAAATCTTCACTGCAATGACCTTCTTGTCCCCATCCCTGCCTATGATGCAGGGCTTGGTGTTGGCAGCATCAAGGGCAAAGGAACTGCTGGGTCTCAGCTTGGCTGCCTGTGGTGGTGGTGACAGTACCCGCTGTGGTTCCTCCCAGGTGTAAGGGTTTCCTTGTGGGCCAGCTTGGGGCTCTCAGGTCTGCAACCTCCATTGACTGAGCTCTGGCCTCTAGTTTTGTCTCCCCAACTCCTGCAAGGCTTTCAAGAATGCACTGAGTTTCTCAGTGACCTTTTCTAGAACTTGCAGCAGTCTAGTTCTCCCTTTTTCAGTTCTACCTTCTGAGTTTCCTTCTCCTCTTAGATTCGAAACCTATAATTCCTTAATGCCTTGTTAATGTTCTAGTGTCACAAAGCAAGTTACTGCAATTGTTTATTACAGAGAAAATACTTGTTTTTAGTGAGAAGATTCATTCAAATTATTTAGACTACATTACCCGTAGCAGAAAGAAAACTTTAATCTTTCCCAAATAGTGAATTCAAATTCCTTTAGGAGTGTCTGTTCTGTTCTGTTTAACTTGAGTAAATACCATGTTTGGGTCTTGTCACTGGGATAAAGGAGGAGAAGTAGGAGTAAGCAGACCTTCAACTAATTCTCTTTAAAAACCCTCCATTTCACTTCTGTACTTCATCATATTTGCCAACTCTGAGCCTACAGCCCCTTTCAGGGCTTCAGTATGGAGCCTTCTTGCAACCATGGTTTGTTTCACCTAAAAACATGTCAGAAAATAATCTGAAATTTCACTTCGCAAAGCAAACTGTTTCACTTTTTGTATTTTGTGTGGAATTATACTGAGCTATCACCCCGGCCCCACATGCTCAGTTCTTAAGCTACAATTTTTATTAAATCTTTAAAAACTGTAGCCACTTTAAGAATTCATGTTAGGCTTTTGATTTTTTTTTTTTTTTTCTGTATTTTAGGGAAGGGTCTACAGGGTGTTCAGGGTCTCACTACTAGATCGGACTTGTAGTGATCCACCTGTTTACAGCCTCCCAAGAGCTGGGATT